CCTTGTGATCATCAGCGTTGCTGCACGCAGCTAGGTCTTGTGCCTGTCTTGCCTCACTTGCTCACTTCTTGACCTTGCTTGTACCTTGACCTATATATACTCTTGCTCTTGTTGGCTTGACTCTTGTATATCTCTATATATGATCTTGCATGTGAACTGGCCTTGTGGCCCTTGAACTTGTGCTCGGAATGTGTGGTGACTTTGTGATCCACCCTGAGCTTTGCTTTGCTTTGCTTGACTGGTCTTGTGACCCCTTGTTCTCCCCCACTTTGCCTATGGGGGTGTGTCAGAACATTATAGCTTACTTATTTGTGTAGGCTATAGTGGGGTATCCCATAGGGGGTACAACCCAATTAGGGTTTCATATTTGTACTCACTTCATTCATAGTTCATCCATTCTCGTTCACTTCTTCTCACTCCTCACCGCAGCTAAGGAAGCACCCAGTAACGAGAACGAATGAGAAGTGTCAAAGTTGACTCGAAGCGACGCAGACAGTTGGAATGCATCTGGACCGTTGGAGCAGATAGCATTGGGCAGGTGCAGGCACGAGGAAATTGGCGGGAACAGTTTCGTAGCTGTACGTGTCAGAATGTTCTTATCTATCCTGTAGTGGGGTGCTCTATAGCGAGTACAACCCTGTTAGGGTTTGCTATATGTATCCCAACTACTGCTAGTCAAACCCTCTTCTTTCTTCTAAACTTTCACATGCTATCAGAGCAGGTCAATCCCCTTGGATCGATCCTGTGGGTGGACTTACCACCTCGTTGCTTCCGCTGCAACTCCTACTGCTACTGCTATCACTACTCTCTGTGCCGCACGCCCCGTGGCGTGCGGCAATTTTTTTCATCCCGCCGTGCGCCCCGAGGCGCGCGGCGGTTTTGTGCCCGCCATGCGCCCCGAGGCGCGCGGCGGGTTCCTGCCCCGTCACGCCGCGTGCCGCTCCCGGGAGGCGCTGCGACGGGCGACGAGGACCTCCACGTCGCCCCCCGTCGCCCGTCGTGGCCTGCGCGCGGCACGTACGGACCGCGCCAGACCCGTCCGCGGCCCGTACGGGCCGCGCCAGGCCTACGCGCGACCCGTACGGGCGGCGCCAGGCCCGCGCGCGGCTTGGGCCGCCTGCGCGCGGCTCGGGCGACCCTATCTGCGGCCCCGTCGCCCTACCTACGGCCCGGCTCCGTCGCCCTACCTACGGCACCGCCCCCCCCCCCTTTTCCCGTCGCCCGTCGCGGCTCCTTCGGGGGCCGCTGGGGGATGGCGAGTAGGGGGTGGCGAGTATGGGGGTGGCAGTTGTGCATTCCTCCCTTTGCTCCTCCTCCTCCTTCGTCTCCCACTGCTGCAGCTGTCGCTGAGGGGGGTGGATGAGTGGGAGACTGGGGTTTAGGGTTTAAGGGGGGTGCGTAGGAGTGGAGCTAGGGTTTGAGCAGTGGGCATGTGCCGAGAGTGTGGGACAGTTGGGGGAGGTCGAGTGGAGGCAGCAGTCTTGTCGTCAGCAGCAGCAGCAGTCCGGAGGCTACAATCTCCGGTAGTCGCCAGTCGCACGTGGGTCCGTTGCTCGTCTGCCGCTACTATTAGCCGCGGGGCCAGTTACTCCAGTAGTCCGGAGCGCTGTTCCGGTAGCCACTGAGCCAGCAGCTCGTCTGTTTGTCTGCGGCGTCAGCAGTCGCCTCCCATCTTCTCTCCCCCACAACTCCTCCTCCTCCTCACTTGTCCGCTGTGATTAGCTCTAGCTTTGCTCATATTTGTGAACCTTTAAACTGTTGCTTCTTAAACTTGTGCTCAGAATGTGTGGTGACATTGTGATCCACCCTGAGCTTGTTCTATGCCTGCTTGCTCTGCTGATTACACCCCACTTTGGCTATGGGGGTGTGTCAGAATGTTCTTATCTAGCCTATAGTGGGGTGCTCTATAGCGAGTACAACCCTGTTAGGGTTTGCTATATGTATCCCAACTGCTGCTAGTCAAACCCTCTTCTTTCTTCTAAACTTTCACAGTACGTGCCGCACGATTGGGAATGAATTTGAATAAGGGAATGTGCCCTTTAGAGTACATGGCTAGCTAGGTCGATTCGAATTCCCCTGTACTCATATTTATATCTTTGTATTTGCATGTTTTAATCATCTCAAGCATTTTACATTCACTCTGCTATTGAGGTCAAGGGCAGGGCCCACGTTATCAGTGTAAAACATCCTGATGCCCTGACTAGAAGGGTGATTTTTGGTAGTAACACTGATGCTGTTGGGTAATTTTTTCGGGACCTTGATTTACCCTGATGTGTCAGGTTTTAAGATTAAGGAACACTGTCGCCTCAGGGTTGCCGTTCCGCTTATCGAGGTTTACCCTGAAACGCGTACCAGCGAACCCCCACCCTTCCCCCCCCCCCCACGTCCCGTAACCACCCGACCCCGAAACCTGGATTTTCCCTTTGCCAACTGTCGAAAATGTAGATTCGGGCAGGACTTGACATATGCTGGAACGAGGTGGGCCACCATTGGCCAGAAATTCAGTTTCACCGGAGCCAGAGGAGGACAGTTGTCAGAATCCCAACCACTAGACCATTGGGATAAAAGGGCTTGTTTCAGTAGCGGGTCAGTGCGCCCATAACCCCCAGGCGAACTCGCCTGTAACCCTCTCCAGGATCAATCGGGCATCCACGGTGCAGATCTACTGACACCCCCCCACACTGGGAGGCCCAGGACTAAGCACAGCGGCAACGGCCTACATGTGCATACACCGGGAATCGAACCCGAAACCGCTCTGATACCATGTCAGAATCCCAACCACTAGACCATTGGGATAAAAGGGCTTGTTTCAGTAGCGGGTCAGTGCGCCCATAACCCCCCAGGCGAACTCGCCTGTAACCCTCTCCAGGATCAATCGGGCATCCACGGTGCAGATCTACTGACAACAGTGACCACGAGCAACCACCGTGTGGCATGTCTGGAGATGATGATTAACCTTGTTATTGTGTGCTCTGTTAATAACAACTGAAACATGGTTTTGCGAATTGGTACACTGATGACTCAGGGTAGTCGTTTTAATACATGCAAAAACCCTGACGCATCAGGTTTTCCACAACGGGCAACCCTGAAAATCAGGTTTTTTAACAGGTGCTAGACTGATCGTAAGGGTTGGTCAAAACCAAAAATGAGCCCTGGTCAAGGGGACCAACCTAGCTGTGTGCGAACCTTCCGAGGAGATCCTAGGAGCGATCACCTTTTTGATCGCAGCTGAGAACACCACCAGACTAGACCAGAGAACACCAGCGCTACTATAACAACAACACTGGAAAGGTGCATGCATGGCACACAAGGAGACGAGAGTGTTGCCTTGCCCAACCTGTTCCCAATCTGATGGGTTTGGCTGGTGCACTGGAGGGGGTCGGAACTATCAAAGGAATCGTGCGAAGGCTGGAAAAAGACACGGGGGGGGAAATCCACGGGGAAAAAAAAATCCCAGGGAACGGGAACACCCCTCCCCCTCCCCCCACCCCTAAAAAAACGCGTCAGGGCAAGCCTCGACATTCATCCTGATGCTTCAGAGACGAACACGACGACCATTCTGAATGTCCAGGGCATTTCATATAACAACATCATGAGACTACAGGGTTACAATTGACACTATTTTGAGATTTCAGGGCAAATTCAAAACTGCATCCTGATTTCAAGGTACCGTAATCAGGATGTTTTGATCTGATAACGTGGGGCCTGCTTCTTCTCAACCAGTAGGGTTGTCCTCTATCATTGACACATCTACTGGAAAATGTTACCGTATCTGATTATATCCGTGGATATGAAGCAACACGGATGAAACCAAAAGCCTACGTCTGTTACATATGAGAATTTTTTTGTAACAGGATTTTTTTTACAGATTGTGGTTCGACTTGAAGAGGGGTTTGTTGTAAAGGAGACATTCTCCTTTACCTTTCAGCTAGTCCTCGGGACTTGCCACCTAGTCTCATTTGCAGTTTTCACCTCTCTAGTTCCCACCCTCCTCTCCCTCATACATTGGATCGCTTGTGCATATCTTGTTCCCGTTTAGAACACCATACGTATTCCATAATATCGAGAGTGCTGTATACTTGAGATGTGAAATGCTATGACGACTGCACTGCACACTCCTCTGAAAGTCGTGTCACAATCCATGGTATTTTTTCACCTTGGTATGTACAACCATATTGTGAAAGCTTGTGATTTGCCTTGTAAATGCAACGTCTCATTTCAACTGGGTAAGTACAAGATTTTATCGTCCAAGCATTGTACGACATACGTAACAACTACCATGCGTCTCATGCTAGGGTGGGGGGGCGGGAACCTTGAAATTGAAAGTTTGAAATGAAAACGTGGGTGAAGGCCAAATGGCCTTCGCCCTCTCGAAAAGGAGGGGAAGTAGCGTTTCGCCGAAGCCTTTGCTTCGGTACAACTCGCCTTGCTATTCACAATACACAATTTTGGAAAGTGTTTCACTTTCAAATTTTTACATTTTGTACAACAGAATACCGCATATGGTCTCAAAGGAGAGCCAACATATCCACAGGAACGTGAGCATCTCAAAAGCTCCCACGATTTTCTGCGCAACTTGTCATCAACATACCAGAACACTTAGTTGTCAATCACAATGTGTTACTGACGGGTGTATTGGCCACGGTGATCTAAAGGCGGAGCCAGAACCCCCTGTGCTGCAAGGACCTGCATGGGCAGCGCGCCAAGCTGCTGGCGAAACTGAATCGACTGCTGCACTGGAAGGGACTGCACTGGAACTGACTGCTGCAGATGCATGGGAAACTGCAACTGCTGCCCGTACCGTGCTATCTGCTGCAGCTGCTGCTGCTGCTGCTGCCCGTGGTGGAGTGTTGGTTGCGAAGTGAGATATCCGCCTCCTGGGCGTGCCGCAACCACATGTTGCTGCAGCAGCACCGCACCTGCTGGCAGGTTGTGAGGGATCGCATAGGATCGCGCAGCAATGTGACCAACAGGCTCATGAGGAGCGTGAGGTGCTGTTACTAAAGGACGGAAAGTCCCAAGAGTAGGTGTGCGATGGTCGTGAGAAGGTGCTTGTCGCACTGCCCATGCGCCTTGTAGAGGTGCAGCAGAGGCAGCGGCAGGCACATGGTGGTTGTCGCTTCGGTGCTTGTTGGCCGATCGATGGTAATCTGGAACACAGGAATGGTGGGACAGTGGAGATAGGTTAACGATACAATGGTGTGGATCGTAAAGGGGGGACGGAGGAAACGAGCGGGAGAGTGGAGTTATATATATACAAATAGAGAGAGAGAAAGAAAAAAAGCGATAAAGAAAGAGCGAGGGAGAGAAAGCGAGGAATGGGGGGAATGAGGAGGGGGAGGGGGGGGGGGGGGGGGGGGGAGGGGGGAAAGGGGGGAGGAAGAGAGAAGGGGGAGAAGGTGGCGGGGGAGAATAACTGAACATCAGTGCTCCACAATGGAAGACAAAGGGGGAAACAGGCAAGCACACGGTTACTGCACAAGCACACACACAGTCACCGCACAACAAGCACACACACGGTCACAAAGTCACCTGAAGTGCGAGCCACCTTCCGTCCTGTAGACTCCCTCGTCACAAAGTCAGACACAGGCCGTGTCCTCCAATCCTCCTTCTCCTCTTCCTCCTCCACCACACCCCTCCACCTATCCCCCCCCTTCTCGCTCCCCTCTAGCGCACCAGGTCCAACCCCCCTCTCCCCACCATTCCACCGATCCTCGTCCCATCTGCCTTGCCTCCCTCCCACACGCATTCCACCCCCTCTTCCAGCAAATCGATCCCTATTCCCTCCAAGCCCTTCTTCGCCACCATCATCACTCCATTCCCTCCCTCGCTTCTGATCTCTCCGCCTCCCCTCCCTCCCCCCCCTCTCCTCCCTCTCCCCCCTCTCATCCCACCCCCCGTCCCTTCCCCGCCTGCTCAACCCCCCCCGGTTCCTCTCATCCTTACCCGAATCCTCCAAATCAACCGGGGAGAATCCGAAGAGGAGGTCGACGAGAGAGGAGGCGGAGGAGAGGGAAGGGGGCGGGCAAGGGACGTCCATGACCGCCTGGGCAGCGCGGGAGAAGGCGGCTGAGATGATGGTGAACTCCTTGGGACGAACGGTGCGCGCACAGTTGGACGAGCGGTGGTAAAAGTCCTCTATCTGGTGTGGGGGGCAAACAGTAGTGTCCCATGTGGGGAGATGGGATAAGGGAGTGAAGAGAAGTGGGGAGGGGAGGTGTGCTGAGTGGGGAGACGGGAGTGGGGAGAAGGGGGGGAGAAGGTGGAATATGGAATTTCACAGCGTGGTGTGAGAAGGTGAGGGGCGTGTGAGAAAGCAGAAAGGCGTTGCCGGGAAAAGATGGGTTGGGCCCTGGGAGAAGGGGGAGAAGGATGCGGTGAGGCAGGAGAGGGGGAAGAGAGAGAGCTCCTACCTATCTCGACTCGACACTTCGAAGCACACATGCAGATGCAGGAGGCATGCTTCCACTCCACATTGCAATGCAATGCACCGCACCCATGACAGTATCAGAAGAGAAGCTGAAAAGATAAAGCTAATGGGCCTGGGAAGGTACTCACAGCCATGACAGTAACATGATTCTCCTGAGGGAAGTCCCGCGGTATCCATTTGCCCTCGTACACACTCGCACATAGCATGTGCTCCCAGAGGTCCTCCTGTGCTGCCATCTGGGAGCATAAAAAGCGCAAGACAAGAGATGACCCATGAGGAGCTTTAACAGTCTGCCACATAGCATGTCCGCCCAGAGGTCCTCCCGTGCTGAAGTTTTGCGATGAGTTGTGGCACAACAGTGAGGAAAGCGAGGAGGATAATAAGGAGGACATGCATGAGCCCAGGCAGGGTTAGGGAACATGGGGAACACGCGCAGTAAGCACAGAATCACATGCGGGACACACGGGAGTACACACACAGAGGGAACAGGAGGAGAAGATTGGGAGAGAGAGAGAGAGAAAAAGGCCATCAACTCCTTCTGCTAAAATCATTCTCCTCTCCACTGCTTCGAAAACTGCAGGAGAACCTGCTAGGAGAACCCCACTTGCACTGAGAGCACCATCACACCCAGGCTCTAACCCACAGCAAACTGAACAAAGAAGGAAGCTAGCAGGTGCGGCAGAAACTCTGTGTTTCTCTTTCCATAGCCCTGCTCCGCCATCTGTGCTGCCCTGCTCCGCCATCTGTGCTGCCCTGCTCCGCCATCTGTGCTGCCCTGCTCTCTGCATGTGCCAACCTATCCACCACCACCCCCCGTCTAACCCCACAGCAACCTGAATGAAAAAGGAGGCCAGCAGGTGCGGCAGCGACTCCGTGTTCCTCTTGCCATAGCCCTGCTCTGCCAGTTGCGCTGCCCTGCTCTCCGCATGTGCCAGTCGATCCATTAGCTCCTGCTCTGGCAAGGGGACAGCGTCACGCCCACTGGCTGGGAATGGACAGGAGGGAGAGAGAAACGGGGGCAGAAGGAGTGGCGGTGGTTTTGGAGACGCCTCAATTGTCGTCTCAATGTTCTGAGGCGCCTCAGAAAATCACCAGTGTTTTGCTCTGGCAAGGGACGGCGTCATGACCGCTGGCTGAGGAGGGACGGGGGAGAGAGAGGACGGCAGGGCATGCAGCATGCAGCATGCCACACGCATGGGTGGCATGCATAGGGCAAGCAGGGAGGGACGATTTGATGTGCCCTGTGCGCACCAGGCGTGGTGGCTGGTTGATTGACCGTCCTAAGAGGTCGGATGATTTTATTCAACAAGAGGAGAGAGATTACTGCCAAGGGGAGAAAGGGCAGTGACGAGCAGAGCATGCAACGGGTTTGCGATGCAGAGGGCAGGATAGGGGAGAGGGACGAAGAGAAGAGAAGAGGGAGGAGAGGAGTGGAGGAGAGATGAGAGGAGAGGAGGGTTATAAGACGTACTCAGAGGCTCTGGAAATTGGCCCATGAGGTCTTTAAAAGGCGGCAGGATTGGGGGAGAGCGAGTCTGAGGCGTTATGCGGGAGATACAGTGGGGAAAAAAGGGGGAGGGAGGAGAGGCCGGGAGAGAGAAGGGGGGAGATGGGTGAGGAGAGATACATGGGAAAGGAGGAGAACAGATGGGGAGGGGGGGCGGGGGTGGATGGACCGCTAACACATGCAGCGGGGGTGGGAGTGAGGGGAAGGACAAGGGGGGGGGGGGGGGGGAGGGGAGTCATGGGGAAAGAAGGGGGAAGATGGAGAACAAGAATGGAGAAGCAGGAATTATGAACCAGAGAGGGGATGAGCAGACAATGTAGAAGTGGAGCAGGAGCACGGAGTGAAGCTGCAGGTACACAACACATTGAGCTTGTGGGTGCACTGCATGTGCGAGAGCCACTAGGGTTGTGAACCTGCAGTTTCACTCCCTGCTCCTGCTCCTGCTCCTGCTCCTGCTCAGGCTGAAAGGACACAATACCTTATTATGTCTCTTTTTTCTTAGTTTCTTCCTGAATGTATGCTTGCAAGGTTGATTCTTGTCCCCCTCAACGTGTGCGATGTGAGGAAGCGGGATAAAAATCACCTTGCAAGCATACCTTCATAAAAAAACAAAACAAAACAAAAAAACAAAAACAAAAAAACAAAAACAAACAAACAAAGAAAGAGACAGAATAAGGATCATGTCCTGCTTGTTAAATCATATGTCGACCTTTCTTGCAACTAATACTACGACCTTGCTCGTACTTCACTCACCTGGAGGTGCAGAGAGCAGAGAAGGATGAGCGCAAGGGAGTTGAGGGTGCCGTTGCGAGGGTCATTGATGGCCTCGTTGCGTGCCCACGCCTTCACCTGCACGGAGGAGAGGGGAAAGCAGGATGGAGAGGAGGCAAAATGAAGAGGAGACAGAGAGGAGGCAGGATGGAGAGGAGGCAGGATGGAGAGGAGGAAGAAACGAGATGAGGAGAAGCGAGAGGAGGAGAGACGGTGTGTGACTTTCAAGTCAAACTGTGGGGTATGCAGAATTGGAGAGAGGGATGATGGCTGAGTGGCAGTCACGGTGGGTGGATGGGGGGAGAGCCAGCATTGAACTACAAATATTAAATAATATGAATGAGGTTTTGGGTGAAGGTAAAAGCAGACTGAGGAACGCGTTGTCAGTAAGGGAGTAGAGGAGGGAGGTGGGGAGGGATACAGGTGTGTACACAACATACACTTCAGATGCCAAAAGGGGGAGCATGCTAAAAAGAGGATGACAGAGCATGCATGGAGAGATACAACGAGCATACGTACACAGATGTGCCAATCGAAGATGAGCGCAACTTGCGCATGAGCATGTGCATGCATGCATGGGTGCGTGCGTCTGAGTATATGTGTGCGTGCGTGTGTTCGTGCAACCATGTTTGAGTGAGGTGCGTGCAAGCATAGCATCTGCCTGCGGCCGAAAGCACGCCTGTACAAGGAAGCAGAGGTGCTTGAAGTGCGGGTCAATGAATCAATGGAGCCACACATAAGCACACACAACGTTTTGACAACAAGACTCTGCGAGCGGCTGAGATGAGAGCGTGAGTGCATACAAGGAAGCAGAGGTGTCTGAAGCGCGGGTCAATGGACGAGACGAAGCGGATGAAGCGCGACTTGAAGAAGCCGTCGCGGTTGGCCACGGAGATATCGCACTCCACGAGTGAGCGCGAGTGCACAAACTTCACCACTGGCACGATGGCCCGAAACACCACCTCCACTCGCTCCACCTGACCAGCTGCTTTCCGCAGGGGGAGGGGCGCAGAGGGAGAAGGGAGGAGGGGAGAATTCTTTTAATCGCCTTAAGAATGTGAGTGACAGACTCACCACTGGCACGATGGCCCGAAACACCACTTCGACCCACTCCACCTGACCCGCTGCCCCGTAGGCCGGACGGGGGAAAGGGAAGGGGGAGGAAGAGAGGAAGGAAGAGGGGAAGGAGGGGGAGAAAGGGGGAAGGTGTTGGGAGGGAGAAAGGGGAAGGTAGGAAGGTACTGGTGGGGGGGAGGAGGGGGGATGGTGGAAAGGTCTTGGACGGTTGGAGGAGCGTGGGAGAGGAGGGAAGGTATTGTGTGTAAGGGAGGACTCGTTCCACCCTGCACACGCCCAGCACACTCCAGGCAGTGCACAGGCCCCTCAACCACAGTACCTCACTCCATTCATCTATTCACTGCAGCAGCCATCCAGCAAAGAATCATATGAGCCACAGCAGAGCTGAACACATGCACAAATAAGCATTTGGTTCAACCCAAAAACCACCCCCACCACCGTACGGTCCGGTCCGGTCCGTACCTCTTTCCATTCTCCGGATCACAGCAGCCACGCGGCGCAGCACAGCTATCTTGGCATCCCTCGTGCGCGGCTCGGCCATCATGCCCACAGCAAACGAGGGAGCGAGAGACGGGTGCGGAGAGACCTCCATTGACAGGTCGAGGTCTGATGTGTTGGATGACAGACCCATCTCGTAGGAGCCGAAGGGAATCAGACGCCCGGCTGATGAAGGGGGGCATGGGAGGGCGACGGAAGGGAGGACGATGTTTTGAGGCGCCTCAAAAGAGACAGATCGAGGTCTGATGTGTTGGATGATAGACCCATCTTGTAGGAGCCGAAGGGAATCAGACGCCCCACTGGTTGGCGGGTGGTGGGCGGGAGATGGAAAGGGAGGATTGGAGGGAAGATAGAAGTGAGGCGTCGAAGGGAGATGAAAGGGAGGATCAGAGCAAGATCAATGTGTGAGTTTATTTATCCTTCGCCGCCCAATCCAACCATTCTCGCCAAACCCTTTTGTGCCTCCTCCACTTCCTCTGGGTGAATTTCCCTGTCAAAGACGAAAACGCAACTCGAACCACCCACCCCTACCGTCGCCCTCCCACCCCCACCGTCGCCCACCCATCCTCACCACAGAATTCGGCGTGAATAGCTTGGGTGAGCACTGCAACAATGTCAGCCCGGGCGGCCATGGCCGGAGCGTCTGGCAGCAGGCGATTCAGCACCCCACCCACCACCTTTTCCAACGGCCCCTACTGCTTACAGGTGACCCTCCAAGACGAAGACAACACGCAACTCGACCCACCCACCTGGCCCTACCATCGCCTCACTCACCCCTACCGTCTCCTTACCCATCCCTACCGCCGCCCTCCCACCCCCACCGTCGCCCACCCATCCTCACCACGAAACTCGACGCGAATAGCTTGGGTGAGCACTGCAACAATGTCAGCCCGGGCGGCCATGGCCGGAGCATCTGGCAGCAGGCGATTCAGCACCCCTCCCACCACCTTTTCCAACGGCCCCTCCTGCTCCCGCTGCCATCGCCACCGCTGCACCATCTGCTGCTCGCGCTGCGCTGCCAGCTGCGTCACTGGGGGGGGCGGTCAGGGGGAGATGAAGGGGAAGCACGGGGGAGAGAACTGGGGAATGGGGGTTGGCGGGGGAGGTATGAGGACGGGGAGGGGGAGCAGAGGCGTAGGGGAAGGGGACGGAAAAGGGAAGGGGAAGGAGAAGCGGAAGTGGACGGAGAGAAGGAGAGCAGGAGAGGAAAGCGGAGAGCATGCGTAGGAGAAGGGACGCGGGACGGGTTAAGGATGCAGTGAAATAGCCTGAGCAGAGCAGAGCAGAGTAATGAGAGAGATTAAGAATGCAATCAACTGGTTCTGATGGAAAGTCCCTGAGTTCATCACTGAGACGTAACCTCACTCACCCTACTCCCCCTCAACCCCCCTCCTTCCTTCTGCCCACTGCAGGGCGTTTTTAGGGATTCGTCATCACAGGTTTGTTGAGATCTGATATCAAACATCTCAATTCCCACCGCTACTCACCGTCTAGTGTTCCGCTTCCGTTTCCGGTTCTTAAGAACGCCATGATTCAAGGAAATGATAGCCGAGGAGGGTAACTGTCGCTGGTTTATTCAATGGGTGTTGTGAGTACGTTTACTTATGCGCTTCAAACGCTGGTCTAATCGGTTGTCTGATACAATCTCGAACGTCACTGACCCGTCGCTCGCTCGCTCACTTGTAACCACTACGGTGGAATGGATATTAACTGGCCGTCAGGTCAATGCATCCCGACCAAGCTCCAGGGAAAGGACGAATATCCGATTGTGAACCATGAACTATCAGTGAGACTCGATGGTCCGTGGCGGGAAACGAAGCTGACACAGACAGAGTTGGGAGTTGAAGCCTGACGCGTGGAATTCGTAGAAACGGACAAGTTTTTCAGAGCCTGAAAAAACAAAAACACAGTATTCCTTCTCCTCACGGCGTTCCTTATCCTTCGCAACGTCTTTTTTCTCAGCGGCGTCCCTTCTCCCTGGCACAGCTTCAGTAGTACAAATCCGCTCGCACCATAGAACCTGCTAGAGCGCCGCCTTAATGTTCGTTTGAGAGCTTAAGAGCTTTCAACCCGCCAAACGCGTGCGCTGCGCTGATACTCATCTCATGCCGACTCGACTAGGGCTGGCTGGAACTGAAATAGAAGATAGACCGACTCGAAATGAGAATCTCTGAACGAACTCGCAACTTGAGGTGCATTGCTCGCCGATGCCCCCGTAGGGATTCGCTCGTTCCAATATACGTACTAGAACAAATTGGATAACAGTCTGAGCCAATACATTTCTAAGCAGTAGAATCAAGGGTAAACCACAAGTATTTATGCTCGATCGTTTCATATACATGTTGCATCAGGGTCAGTCGCTCTGAGAACAATACGTCGCATGAGGGGACTACACCTTCTTTCTTTCCATGTCGAGGATGATCCACCCTTTACTCGTAGCTAATGCCGAGATGAACTTCCCAGCATGCGCAGGTGACGAATTTATTTGTAATTATCGTCCACGTCACATGAAGCCAGAGGCTTCTCTTGATTGCCGTGGTGGAAAGGAGGTTGTCCAAGGTTATGGCGTAGTGCATTGCGTAGGGCCGGTATGCGGGGGTAGTCTTGACCGCTTGAGTAGCGTGCGCATCTTCGTCGTGAGCGTGGGTTGGTGCGTGTCAAATGATGTAGCCTGTAGTGAGGCTTCTCTTAGGGGGTACAAATATTAGGGTTTGCTATATGTACCCCAACCCACATCAATGAACACACAATTCAGTTTATGACATGGTATCACCTAGGTTAGGATCCTATAGGATCCCTTTTCTCTTGCCCGAGCCTCTCGAGCCTCACGCGCCTCACCTATCCCGTCCTGTCTCGTAGTGCTGCAGTAGCGCCCCTTTCGTACGCCCGTCTGCCGCGCGCCTGCCCTAAGTGCCCGCCAGCGGACCTGCCTTAGCGCCCGCCGCGCGCATGCCCTTCGCGCCGCCGCGTCTGCCCTTAGCGCCCGCCGCACCTGCCCGTTAGGCCCGCCGCGCCCGCCTGTCAGGCCCACTGCCTGCCCGCCGCGCCTGCCCGTTAGGCCTGCTGCCGCGCCCGCCCCTTAGGCTCGCCGCGGGCCCTGCCTTCGCGCCGCCACGCGCGCCCGTTACGCCCGCAGCCGCGCCCGCCCGTCAGGCCCGCCGCACGCCCTGCCTTCGCACCGCCGCGCATGCCCATTCGCCGCTGCCGCACCCGTCCGTCCGGCCCGTCGCGGGCCCTGCCTACGCGCCACCGCGCCTACCTGTTACGCCCGCTGCCGCGCCCGCCCATCAAAACCCGTCGCAGGCCCTGCCTTCGCGCCGCCGCGCATGCCCGTTCACCCCTTCCGCGCCTGTCAACTACGCCCGTCGCGGGCCCGCCCCTTGCGCTCGCCGGGGGCCTGCACTCGCTGCCCGCCGAATCTCTCAGTGACACCCGCCGCTCCTGCCCATGCCACCTGCCATGCCTGCCCTTAGAGCCTGCCACGGCCCTGCCCTACCTGCCCGCCGTGCCTGCCCGTGCTCGTTGCGAGCCTGCCTTAGAGCTCGCCGCGCCGGCTCTTCGCGTCCCTCTAGCGTCCGCCGCGTGCCTAGTTTTGCTCGCGCGCCTGCCCTGCGCCTGCCCGCGCGCCTCTCGCCTAACCGATTGTCTCCTTGCCGTGCTTGTCGCCCTGCCCTCGCGTGCCACTGCGCCCTGCCGGCCTTGTAGTTTCTGCTTTCGCTATGGCGACCCCTAGGGTCCTTCTCTTTGACGCCGAGGGTAGGCCCCTCGAGTTCTCTATATGGCTCCAGCGTGCGCAGCGTCTCCTAAAGAGTCAGGTACAGGCAAATGAGTCCCTGTGGGCGCATGCTTCTGGTGAACTTTGCGCGCCCCTCGATGCTGATACCCTAGGCCTTGACGCTACTCCTGAGGACAGAGAGCGTGTTGCGCGTCAGCGTGCTGACTTGACAGCCTGCAGATCACGCGACGCTGCGGCCTGCATCGCCCTCAGCAGCCTCCTCCCTGATTCCGAGGAGACCCATTTCTCACAGGTTCGCACGGCTAGTGAGTTCCTGACTGCGATCAAGGCCCGCTATGCTACTCTTTCCACTATCTCTCTTGGTCGCCTGTTCCTCCCCTTCCTGTTTCCTGACCTCACCTTGTTTGAGCGCTCTGCTGACCTGATCGCTCACTTGCGATCACTAGACTCTAGCTTTCGCGCTGCCTGCGCTGACGCACAGCTTGCACTGCTACCTCCTCCCATGCGGATCACTATCTATTTCATCGCCACTAGCCTCCCTGACCGCCTTGCTTCGGCTCGTGACGCACTTCTTCTAAAGCATCCTAGCAAGCTCACTATTGGCATCCTTGAGTCTGCTTTCAAGGACGTCAAGAGCAACCTCCTCTCGGTAGCCTCTGCCTTTGGTGCTGTGCCCCCTCCACTATTTCATAGGTGCACTGTCCCTCAGCTACCCACCTTTACTGCCTCCCTCGCCACTGCCGCTACTGGCGTGACCGCAGCCGCTGTTACGACTTCTTCGCGGTCTCAGGGTAGGAGTGGCAGGAGGGGCGGACAGGGTGCGGACGGAGGCGGCGGAGGCGGTGGGGGTGACGTGGCAAGCGGTGGCGGCGAGAGTGCAGGGGCTGGAGGAGCGCCTCGTGCGGCGGCCGGTGAGTCCCCTTCTGCAGCTGGTGAAGGTGACGCCCGGGTTCATCAGCCACCTACTGGTCTGGCAGCCGCAGGGGGTGGAGCAGCGGCATGGTACCTGGCTCAGCGACAGCAGCAGCAGCAGCAACCCCTCCCCTCACAGCAGCCACAGCGACAGCAGCGACAGCAGTAGGTTTCGGGGCAGGGGTCAGGACAGCGTCAGCTGCAGCGCGGTGTCGTCCACCCTCCTTACACCTATCACGATCTGACAGGTGCCCGCCGTGGCCAGCCTTGTGGCCGCAGCCACCCACCGGGTCAGTGCTTTGCTCAGCTCACTAACACAGTTCGGTTGGCCTACGGCGTTGACGGCCGTGCCCCTGACTGGTTTCCCCTTATTCAGACGTACGGCCCTGCTCTGTGGGGCATGTCGGCTTCTCAGTTAGTTGATCTCTTAGGAACTCCTCATGCTATGTATGCTGTTGTTGACTCTAGTGCTTTTGACTCTGTTTACCCGCGTGTTGTTAGCTTAGGTGCTAGTCTTGCTGAGGTGCCTGTTGTCACAATAATATATAAATCTATATATTGTTTTGTAACTGCCTATAGTGTAGACTACTGTAGTTATATAATGTTCTGTTTTGGTGGTGCACCTTTCATCTTGCCTATTTGTACTGCACGCTCTATAGTGAATCCCCTCTTTTGTTTCAACTCTCTCGACTCTCCCAACCCAACTCACTCGAACTCAACCAAGGCTCCTAAGCCATGGCTCCTAAGCCTAACTCTCTCTAGCTTTATTTCACACCTGTTGCTAGTGTAGGTACTTGTGTAGACACTAGTCCAGGAGCTGCTCCGGAGGACGCTTCGCTGACTTTCACTCTGGACTCCGGAGCTTCGCAGTGTTTCTTCCGCGACCGCACGACACTTACCCCGCTTCCTACACCGATCGCTGTAGCACTGGCTGATCCCACTTCGAGACCAGTCACTGCTCGCTACACTACTAGACTTCCGTGCTCAGCTGTTCCCTCCAGTTTTCTGACCGGCTTCCACGTCCCCTCGTTCTCGAGGAACTTGGTGGGCGTGAGGCCACTCGTGAGTAAGCACGTGGGTGTGTGGATTGATCCTTCTGGCGAGACTGCGGTTTGTGTCGACGGGGACACGTACGCTCGTCTCGCCACCTTTACCGCTGAGCCGGGCTATGGTCTCTACACACTTCACACTGGCACCCGAGAGCAACAGCAGCAGCACTGGCTACTGCCCCCGACCCCTATCACTGCCCCCCGTCAGGTTCCCGCGTCCCACCAGGTTGCCGCGTCTCCCCAGGTAGCTGTGTCTGGTCCAATTGCTGCGTCGGGCTCCTGCCGGTCACTTGCCCACCCCACCGTTCTGTGGCACCACCAGATGGGGCACCCGTTCATTCCTCGCCTGCGCACTATATCTAGTCAGCGTCTTGCCTTGGTCCTCCCGCAAATCTTTCCGTCGCTGCCGCCTTCGCTTGCACCACCTTGCGGTCCCTGCGTCGAGGGTCGGCTGTGCGCCACCCCTCACTCCTTCTCGTATCGTCCGGCCACCGAGCCCTTCGAGACTCTCGACTTGGACGTCTGGGGCCCCGCCCCTCGCCCTGGCCCTGAGCGAGAGAGTTTCTTTCCGGTGGTCGTTAACGACTACTCTCGCTACACCACAGTGTTCCCCCTGGCAAAGAAGTCTGAGGTGACTTCTACGCTCATCCGGAGGCTACTTACCACTGTGGACACTCGTGGTTGTCGTGTCAGCTGTCTTCATTCCGGCCGTGGGGGTGAGTTTTGCTCCAGCATTCTCGCTGGATTCTGTCGCGAGCAGGGCATAATGGGGTTGCTGAGCGCCGTATAGGCTTGGTCATGGAGATTGCACACACCTCCATGATACACGCCAG